GTCCTTAAAAAAATATTATCTAAAAAATCCACTCCTCTTGAAGTCCTTAAAAAAATATTATCTAAAAAATCCACTCCTCTTGAAGTCCTTAAAAAAATATTATCTAAAAAATCCACGCCTCTTAAAGTCCTTAAAAAAATATTAACTAAAAAATCCACTCCTCTTGAAGTCCTTAAAAAATATTATCTAAAAAAATCCACGCCTTTTAAAGTCTTTAAAAAAATATTATCTAAAAAATCCACGCCTCTTGAAGTCCTTAAAAAAATATTATCTAAAAAATCCACTCCTCTTGAAGTCTTTAAAAAAATATTATCTAAAAAATCCACGCCTCTTGAAGTCCTTAAAAAAATATTATCTAAAAAATCCAAGCCTCTTGAAGTCTTTAAAAAAATATTATCTAAAAAATCCACGCCTTTTAAAGTCTTTAAAAAAATATTACCTAAAAATCCACGCCTCATGAAGTCCTTAAAAAAATATTTTCTAAAAAATCCACGCATCTTGAAGTCCTTAAAAAAATATTATCTAAAAAATCCACGCCTCTTGAAGTCCTTAAAAAATATTATCTAAAAAATCCAAGCCTCTTGAAGTCCTTGTAAAAATATTCTTTGAACATGTACGCCTCTTTTAGCCATTGTAAAAATATTATTTAAAAAATCAACGCCTACTGAAGTCTTTTTAAAAATTTGAAATATTTTTACTAAAAAAAATGACAAAATCCACTTATTCAAACTTATTGAAGTTTTATTGTCCTCCAATATAAGTGCTACATATATATGTAATAGTTTTTTCACTTGTTGCTTCGTTCTCTAAATCTCCAACATAATTTTCACATTTTATTTAAAAATCTTCAATCCCATCACCAGCCCCCACCCATATCCATTAATTCAATAATAATTTTCCATGGCCCATCACGATTTGAAACGTGAACATTATTCGAGAGAGAGCGAGAAAAAAAAAACAGAAATATGAATGCCATGAAAAAAAATAATGGAGTTGGAAATCACAGGCAATTGTATTAATCGCATGCTTTTAAGCTAATGCTTTTGTTGCTCTGACTTTTCTACCACTTTTTTATTTTATTCTTTCTCCTTTTCTTTTTCTGAGGGGCAATAAAATGTCATCAGTGACAGAATTATAATGGAGGGGGAGTGAGTGAAGTATGAAATCCTTTTGTTAAAATTGTTAGCACCACTTCATTTCGTCCTCAAGTTTTTTATTCTTTCGACAAAGGTGGAAGGTGCTGTGGGAGAAATCGGGGGTGAGGGGTTGCGACAAGGATTGGTGGTATGACATATGTCATGACAACGATACCAAATCGCATTAAATGTGAATCAAAGTACAATTGCAAAGCAAAGCAAGGCTATGACAATTTTCAATTTCCAACATAGCTCCAGAGATGAGGATGATGAAGTAGCTATGTACGTATTATTATTATTGGTATTGTTGTGGTGTGAGTGTGTGTGTGTACGTGTGCAAGGATATTAAAAGGAATTTACACAATGATTTTTTTTGGATTTAGTTTGTCAAATTGAAAGCACTTAACCCCAAACAAATCATAATAATAACCTAAAGTATGTGATGATAAATGGGCCATGATCCTGTGGTCAGGCGGTAAGAATGTTGTTTCCTATTTGTTAGTGGAGGGTGGAGTATATTATAGAATTTTAGCAAGGACTTCCATTTAAAACCTGTTTTGTTAGATATTCTACTACTACTTGCATTTAAAAATGTATTTTTTAAGAAAATATTTTAAGAACTTCAAATGACCAGAATTTTGGATTTTTTTATATACTTACATTTTTATACCCTACACAACTATGTTGTCAGGGTATTATAGCTTTGTGCAGCCCCAAGAGTTTGTAACACCGCGAAATATTGGTCCTAGACCCACTTTTAAGTATACCGGTCATATCTCGACTAGCTGAGTCGATCTAGACAGGTGTGTCCGTCCGTCCGTCTGTTCATTATAATTTGTAAACACGATACAGGCCACAGTTATGGACCAATCTTCACGAAATGTTGCATGTAGGATGGGTTCGGCCCAACGAAGACCCCTATTGTTTTTAGTAAAGATCAGTTAATATTAAGGGGATGAAATGGACCAAATACTAAATTTTTGTCTGATTTTTTGGTCGTTTCAGAGGCCGCAATAATGGCCCAAATATCGCGAATTTTTACATGGAGAAGAGGATGTATTCTATAGCGTATATATTTACCCTGAAGGACATATACGCGAGAAGTTGATAATAGATCCAAGACCAAGTGGTTGACCTTTCTAATTTTCGGTGATGATCGGAAAGTTAGATTTGGAAGTTGGAAGTTGTGTTGGGTATCGTATGGTCGGCCTGCTCCGCTCACTGGTTAAAAATTATATTTTGAAAGACTTTAACAGGCGTTTTTTTTAATATTTAATATTTTTTCGAGGACTTTAACAGGCGTGGATTTAAAAAATTTATTGAAGGGACTTCAAATATAGTGGTTTTGAAAAATCTTTTTTAAAGGGGCTCAAATAGCGTGGATTTTTTTTAACAATATTTTCTACGACGTCTTCCAGACGAGTGGCTTTTTTATAGAATATTTTTTGCAAGGACTTCTAGGAGCATGAATTCTAAAAGAATATTTTTAAAAAGATTTCAACAGGCATGGTGGTAAAAAAATATTTTTAAGGGCTTCAAAAGCCGTGGATTTTACAAGGGCTTCAAAAGTCTTGGTTTTTGAAGAATATTTTTTAAAAGGACTTCCTCAGGCGTGGGTTTTAAAACTTAAACTAGGCGTGTAATTTTAAAGAATATTTTTGAAAAAGACTTCAACTGGGGTGGATTTTTAAAAATATTTCTATAAGGACTCCTATTGGTTTTTTATGAATATTTTTTCAAAGATTTTCTCAAGGAATTAAAAAAAAACTCCAATAAGCTTCAATTTTTAAAAAAAATATATATATTTTTAAGGACTTCAAGAGGTTTGGTTTTAAAAAATACTCTAAGAACTTCAAGAGTGTTTTCAGAGAATTAAGTAGTGGTGGATTTTTAAAGAATATTTCTTACAAGGACTTCCATTATTTTTTACAAGTACTTCCATTATTTTTTACAAGGACTTCAATAGGCGTGGATTTTAAAGATTATTTTTACAAGACTTGAACAGGAGCGGGTTTTTATAAAAAGAATTTTTAAGGAATTCAACAGGCATGGTTTTTAACAGGTGGTTTTCAAGAAGTTCTACAGACGTAGTATTTGAAATATATTTTTTACAAGGATTGAACAGGCGTGGTGTTTGGAATAATTTTGTTCTGAAGTTTTTTTTTAATTTTTAAATTCAAGCTTATTGAAGTCCTTGAAGAAAATAATTCTTCAAAATTCCGCCTTTATGGCAGTTCGTGAAGAAGTAATTTTATTCTTTATATTTCTTTCAAATTGTGAACAATATTTTGGATAAAAAAATATACAACTGTTGGAGTCTCTGTATTTTATGCTTTACGCTTTTTGTAGCCCTTTAAAACATATTCCTGATATCCTTGCCAATTTATATCCTTGAAAAAATCTTAATATTTTTGAAAATCCATGGCCCTTAACCTGTTGCTGCTTACATTCATTTCAAAAAGTGTTGGAAAACCTCTATCCTTGCTCCATTGAATTTCAATTTCAATGAACGTTGACAATGGTTCGGATTTTTATTTCCTTTTTTTCATTGTGGTGGCGCTTAAGTGAAAATAATCTATAAATCACATTTTTATGCTATTGAGTGTATGTTGTTGTTATCCTTACATTTGAAATATTATACGGCTCAATGATTTTCAATTTGTATTTTTTTTATAATCTTAGAATGTGTGGTTGGTGGAATACACGTCTTGAATTGTCAAAAAAAAAAGTTAAAAGCATTGAAACGTATAATTTTTTTATAATATTCAACATTAATTTTTCGAAATCCGATTGCTAAGTGCTTTTGTAGAGATGGAGAAAAGGGATCTGGGCTAATTGTCTACCAGGTTACTTAAAAGCTTTCTAATTGGTTCAATTAAAAAAACAGGTTCTTATGAGGGTGGGAGAGGAGGAGGTAATGAATTTTTAATGCGATTTTGGAAAAATATAAAATAATATTTAATTGTGAGTTTTTTTGGGGAGATAATTGGGGATTTTTTGGGGAACTTCAAAGGATTTATACATCAGGGGATTTCAAAAAATTATTTCTGAAATTATAAGTTGAAATATACATTGGTCTCAATGCAGGACAATATTTTATTCAAATAAAAAATGTATTATTGATCCTTGGATTTACTTCCTCTCTCCTAATGAAATATTCCCTTAAATTGCCTATCATATATCAGGATTTCTTATAACCTACAACAATTTCTTGTCCATCAAAATGTAACGGCTTAAGAATAAAAAGGATAATAAACAGTTAATTATTTCTCCTCTTAGCATTGTTAAGAAGTCCTTTTTTGTGACGATTTTTCATAAGCTTACAATGGATGGATGATTGTTACTCAAGTGTGTGTGCGTGTGTGGTGGCGGCATTGCATATACCACTACTTACCACTACGCTCAAAACAGCAAGGACAACAATACAGTCATAAACAGAAAGTTTTTTCTTCTTGTGCAACAGGATAAAGGAATGTTCATGCCAGTGGAATGAAAGAATGAAAAAAAAGAAACACCAAAATCGGAAATTGTTGTGGCTAATTGCTGGATTTCTTTCATTCCACAACAAGTGGGTGGTCGTACCAAAAAATGGGAGATGTATGTTTCAAATTAGCCACGGCCAACAGCTTAAATACTTAGACGAGTTTAAGTGTTTCATTCACTTCATCATCTTCTGCTTCTCCTTCAAAGCTTTGCACACAATTATTGTTGCATTTGTTCAGTTTCTTCGTCTTCTAATCTCAGGGACATGGTTGTCAAGGGAATATTTAATAATAAGGACTTAATGTGGTATTTATGTCAATTACACACACATGTGTGAGAGTGTATTTTTCTTAAAGAGAAAGAGATTGTATGGTGACTCACCTCCTCCATTTTTGTAGCACAAATAGGGAAATCGCCAGACGTTTGCTAAATCCACAGCGAATCCTATAACGGATAATAAGAAATCGACTTTGCCGCTCCATGTTTCACGTTCATCGGGACTATCGCTGATGTCACGTGGCGTTGTGGTCTTAGCTGCTGGTCTGTTAGGTGACATCGCCAAGGCGATGTCGTTTTCTTCGTCTTCTAAATCTGGAAGAAAAAAAATATGACTTTTTTAGCAATATTTTATTAAAAACCAGTGAGCGGAGCATTATAGTCGTACGGGGCCGACCATATGATACCCTACACAACTTCCACGAAAATCTAACTTTCTATGGTTCTATATTCAGAGCTTTGCCAATATTTCGCGATCTAATTCTAATATTCAGTAGACGAGGACTGTACTTGTCCATATTGTCTTTACCGTGTTTTATGTTGTGATGTTGGGCTTTCATTTGTAGCCTATAGGTCGAATCGAATAAAACACAAAATAAAAATAAGTTTTCGGTCCACTTCATCCCAAAATTATCTGATCATCACCGAAAATTATAGGCGTTGTCCTGGACCATAACTGGAATCTAATGGAAAATTTCAAAGCGATCAGCGCTATATTTCCGCAATCTAGTGTGGTAATGGGTTACTAAGTAGCACCTTTAAATATTTACGTATAACTCCCACATCTGAGTACATACGACCATATAATTGTTATCAATTTAAAGGTCAACCACTCCTCTTCAACATACGGTCAACATCTCGGGTCTCGCGATGTTCGGGCCATGATTGCGGCCTCTGGAGCGACCGGAAAAACGGACAATAATTAGGTATTTGGTCCATTTCATCCCCTAAAAATTTTTCCGATCAATAGGGGCCTTCATTGGTCAGAACCCATCCTACATGTAAAATTTCGTGAAGATTGGTCCATAACTGTGGCCTGTATCGTGTTTACAAATTAAAATGGACAATTTTTTGGGAGATGGAAAATTCCAATAGGGGATTGAAAGACCTTGGTGAGCACATGAAACGCCCAGAAAGAAATCTAACACGAAAATCTAACTTTCTATGGTTCTATATTCAGAGCTTTGCCAATATTTCGCGATCTAATTCTAATATTCAGTAGACGAGGACTGTACTTGTCCAGATTGTCTTTACCGTGTTTTATGTTGTGATGTTGGGCTTTCATTTGTAGCCTATAGGTCGAATCGAATAAAACACAAAATAAAAATAAGTTTTCGGTCCACTTCATCCCAAAATTATCTGATCATTACCGAAAATTATAGGCGTTGTCCTGGACCATAACTGGAATCTAATGGAAAATTTCAAAGCGATCAGCGCTATATTTCCGCAATCTAGAAATCTCGCCTTAGATCAAAGTTCGGAGATATAACCTGATAAGTTTTCCTCCGGCTATCCTATTATATATGAAGAGATAACTTCATATCTTGATTTCTAGCTATTGTAAGTATTTTTTTGAGATTAATTTTTTCAGTAAAATCGCATGGCGATTTTTTTTGTAGAACATTTATTCCTTCTAACTTGATTCCTTGTGAGTCCTTTTTGTCCTTAATTTCTCAAGATGCAATTTTTTATTCTAGCAATATTCTACAAAAATGTTGCTCGAAAGATTTTAGGTGGGTCGTCACAGACGAGAAATCGATATTTTAACGTTTTTATAGTTGATTTTCAATTTTACCCGCTTCGGGTCCCTAAAACCCTATATTTGTGTATTTCAATGAATACAGTATAAATTCATTCTAATTAAGAAATATAAAATTTTTATATTTATTTTTGCTAAAACATATATAGTTATGCCAAATACGCCGAGAAAAATAAATTTCGGCGAAGAAATAACCGGATTTCAAAATTTTTGAACCGGATATTCAGATAGTAAAATCGGGTTTAATAAGTTGTATGCATATCATTAGAAAGCAAATAAACAAGTACGCTAGAAAAATTAATTTCGAGAAGAAAGAACCGGTTTTCAAAATGTTTGAATCGGATATTCAGGTAATAAGACCTATAATAGCCCGGTTCAAAAAATGTATCGTGTTTGTTTACTAGCTTTCTAATAATATATGCATATTAAACCGGTTTTATTATCTAAATAAGAAAAAAATAAAAATTTAAAAAACCCGGTTCTTTCTTCCGAAATTTATTTTTTTTTACGTGATTTGTAAAACTGTATATGTTTTTAGTAGACAATGCGGACGAATCCGAATATATAGTTACACCAAATAAGATAAAAAAAGTAATTTCGTGGAAAAAAGAACCGGTTTTCAAAATTTGGAACCTATATTTAGATTTTCAGAGATTCGATTTTAATTTCTTTTATTAATATTAATAGAAAGTTATTAAAAACAACGCTCTAAATTTATTGAACCGGGCTATTATCGGTTTTGTTACCTGAATATCCGGTTCAAAAATTTTGAAAGCCGGTTTTAATAATACCGACTATAGTCCAAGTCAATAAATGTAGCGCGTTTGTTTAATAGTTTTCAAATAATATGAGTATAAGATATTAAAACCGGTTTTATTGTCTGGATAACAAGCTCAACGATTTTCAAACTCGATTCTTTCTTCCTCAAAATTCATTTTTCTGGCGTATTTGGTAAAACTATATATGCTTCTAGTAAATAATTCGGACACATCCGAATATATATAGTTACACTAAATAAGCAAAACAAGTAATTTCGAGGGAAAAATAACCGGATTTCAAAATTTTTGAACCGGTTACACAGGCAATAAAACCGGTTCTTAAAATTTAAAACGTTTTTTTATTAGTTTCCTAAAGATATGCATATGCGGTATTAAAACCGGTTTTATTATCTAAATATCCGGTTAAAAAATTTAGAAACCCGGGTTTTTCTTCCCTGAAATTTATTTTTCTGGCATATTTGGCATAATTTTATATGTTTTAGTAAATAATTCGGGCAATTCCGACATTTCTTTATAGTATTGAAGTACATAAATTTAGGGTCTTAGTGACATGATACGGGTAAAATTGAAAAACAAAAAAACGTTAAGAAATCGTTTTCCCGTCTATGACGACCCCACCTAAAATCTTAGGAGCAACATTTTTGTAGAATATTGCGAGGTTGAAAAATCAAATTTTGTGGTAATTGGAGACCGGTTCAATAAATTAAGGACGAAAAGGACGCCCAAGGAATCGAGTTAGAAGGACAAAATGTTCTACAAATAAATTCCTTATTTGATTTTACTGAAGAAATATAATCTCCAAAAATACATACAATGGCTACAAATCAACATATTGAGCAATCGCTTCATGTATAATAGGGTTGCCAGCAATAAAAAAATGATCACATTTTAACTCCGAATTTAGACCCAGGACGAAATTTTCCTCCTGAAGTTTCAATATGCTAACCAGATTTTTAATCTCCAATAGGAATTTTCCAAATCTCCGCCACACATACTATGACCCCGATATGGTCTCACAATGTAATTTAATTTGGACAATAGTGAATATACTTCAGATGAATATTTCGAGGTGTTGCAAACGGAATTACAACTTTAACTCCACCATGTGGAGGATATACAAATGTTAATTGGCGGTTTCTTTTCTACACTAATGATATACCTCATTGTTCTCCAAATTACCCAATTTTAAATTATCCAAACCCTAATATACATATATGAATATTTACAAAAGTATATATATTCTATAATAAAATGACAATTCTAGTTCAACTAGTGTCTGTGGCAGTAACAGTCTGTATAACTAGTGCAAGACCACCACGACAATAACAATAACAATAACAACAAAAACAAATACCCATAAACTTGTACAACTGGTTTTTAAACGTCATTTGCATATTTATTCCAATTCCTAAACATGGTCATCCAACAATCTGGGCATTCAGAATGAAACGAAAATGAAATTGTCGCAGACATTCACAAAAAATAGAATGTTGAAATGGATGATATGATGGTCAACATACTCTCGCTGTCCCCCTCCTGCTCTCCATTCCAACTTCACACTGTTTACATCCACTACAGGTAGAACGATTTGGGATTTCCGTAACAGATTTTCAAGTGTCATTTCAATGAGAGATCTGTCTGTGTCTATGAATATGCCTATATTTGAACAACCTGTCCGTTACAGAGTCGGAGTTAACCAATGGTCAGTTAAGTTGTTTGATGTGGTTCTGACATCAAAAGGTTAACTAAAGTAGACAGACAACCACATTTCAATACGGTTGGTAGTGTTTTACATTTTCGAATCTTTACAAATTTTTTGACAATAGATTTTTATTTTGAATTGGAGCGGCTGTAAATGGAGAGGTTAATATATTTTTATTGTTTTGTTTATTTTTTGTAATATTTTAATATTTGCGTAAACAGCATTTTCGTATTCTTGTTAAATTTACAATTTCTAAAAATAGCAAAATGTGTTTGTTTTGGAAAAATTAGCTTTAACCAGTCACCAAGTCACTCAGAAAATTGTATTCAATAAGGAATGTACAAATGGCAAATAAAGTACAAATGGCAAATAATGCCAAATTTCGGAAGTCAATACCTACCATTCTGGTTGATAAGCGCCTTTAAATGATGTCCAAATCCTCAAAATATCGAAATTTGGTACAAAAAATATTGGACCAATATTGATTTTTAGTAGTAAGATTTGGTACCCAATTAGAACCCAACATACCAAATTATAGACAATTCGATGGAAAAACGTGTCAAAATCCCCAAGATACTGGAATTTGGGTGACACTGTTAAATGGGAGCTATCCTAAAGACCAGAGATGACCCATCAGAAACAGTGACGTAAATGACATACATTTCCAACGTATAATATATACGTCAGAAACGTCGGAAACCTACCCAAATCCATTAGGTTTCTGACAAAATAGCTATTTCCATTAATCAATTTGGAAATTACGCATGCTTTATTCAAATTAATATAAAATTTCAAAATTTTCTTCTCAAAAAATTTAAAATTTTTATCAGTTCTAGTAAGGAATAGTCAGATATATGTAAAAAATATATATATTTGAAAATAACTGTATATGCTGATAATATTGAAATAAATGACGTTTACTACATATATTACATTTTATACAGGTATATGACGTTTTCGACGTTTACACCTTTTTGACAGTCGAAAACCTAAAAATTCGTCACACGGACCATCCCTGCTAAAGACTTGATCAATATTCATAATTTTTCGAAAAATCTCAAAATACCCGAAAATT